GAGGACAGAGTGAGGACAGAGGATGCAGAGGACAGAGTGAGGACAGAAGATGTACAGGACAGAGTGACATGAAGGAGGATGACTCGCTGTGGAGACCCACGAAGAGGGAAAAACCAAAAGAAGAAGAAACAGGAGCAGAGGTACATCCAATGATTACAATCTGGACTCATGTTCTACTTTCATTAAAATCTGTCCACTGCCTCATGATATATTTTGCTGACACTATAGGCAAATGTACAAGCAGCCAGCTGGCAATAACAAAGGAATCAAAGATGCAAATGTGCCGAGGTGGAGGAGCTGAAGAAGAAGTAAAGCTCCAAAACATGTATAAACTTTTCAAAACCATTTACACATTAGTGTTTGATAACAACCAAACCATTCCATTCAGTTTGCTGGTATTTAGAAAATAAATCGACATACTGGTTCTCCAGGCTCCGGGATTATTTCTGCAACCTGTCATGACAAGGAATGGAAATAATACCACGTGAAGTGAGTGGAAAAATCAATCTGCAGAATAATGCAAAAGGTATAGATACTGCCCTGTACATAAAAAAACAGGACTTTGACTCACATTTCCTGGAATCCCAGGCGGTCCCCTCGGTCCAAGGTCACCCTGAGACGAGAGACAGTTTGTTTGAGCTGAAACAGGACGACTCTGACATCTACTCCAACTCAGATGGATAAACAGGAAGTTTAACTCTTACCTTGTCACCCTTTTCACCTTTTGATCCAACAGGTCCATCCATTCCTCTTTCTCCCTAAATACAAAAACAAACAAAAAATGTTTTCCACACATTTTACACACCAGACAGCATTAACCGTTCCATTTAAACCATTAACTCCATATAAATAAGAATTGGGAGCACAGGTTTGAATTTATTGTGCATTTGCTTGAACAAAGTCAAATTATATAAACAGAAATAAATGTACAGCTGCATAGCTTCAATCAAACCTTTTAATAGATACAGGAGGTTCTGAAATATTGTTTAAATGTTGTGTTCAGTAGTGGAGTCGATAGATGAGACAACAGCAACAAACTATACAGTGACATATACAGATAGATAGATAGATAGATAGATATACAGATAGATAGATAGATATACAGATAGATAGATAGATATACAGATAGATAGATAGATAGATAGATAGATAGATAGATAGATAGATAGATAGATGATAGGATTTTTACTTGGCAATCCAATTTTTGATAGTGACTTTTTTCACACCTGGATGCAGTGACTCACAAAAATGGAAAAGGGTACCTCACATATTTTTTTAAGCTATCATGCTAACACAGACTAACATTTATGGCTGCGGCCATCTTGGATTTTTACGTGGGTAGGCAATTTTCCAAAGGAACCTTTCTTATGCCTAAATGTAGTCACACACCAAACCAGAAGTCAATAGCTCTCTTGTTATTAAAGTTATCATGCTCACAAGATGCACAGAGAAACAAACAATTCCACGTTGTCACTCGGAGGTGAGGGGACAAAATCAGGAACTTTTTTGTCTACCCGTGCATTGCTTGCATAAAGACTTTTGCCCTTTTCTCCATAGTTCATGCTTTGACAGATGAATTGATAAATGACAGAAATATGATCAGCCAAAAACGGACAGAAACATTTTAAATTTGGCTGTGCCAATTTGCCGGCGAATTGGTCACAAATACTTTTCTCTCGCTCTTTACTAAGACGGGCACTCTCTTTCCCCTCATGCCTCCCTCCTGCTTTTGGTCTTGTCTTGTGAACCTCCTCAGAGCCTCTCTTTTCACATCTTCCTAACTGAAAATTATTTTTGATCTGGTCAGCTGGTCTCTCAACACAATTGATAACATTTTCTCGACTAGAAGACAGGGTGCAGGAGAACCCTCATGACCTGAAGGGACACACGCAGCTGGATATGATCATGGATTCCTGGGTGTTTGGAAGATGATGCTCCTGTCTGTACAGTCTGTTGAGGACGTAGAAGATGCATACATGATTGGATTTATGAAAACAGGACTTTTGGTTTTTGGAATCGGCAGATACCTGGGATATCAACTACTTAGAAAGAACAAAGTCCATGCTCAATAATCCAGGTATACAATCCAACATTTTTCAGTCAGGTCATCTGGACAGTTTCTTTTTTTGTGCTGAAACGTTTCGCCTTCGGTCCGGAAGGCTTCATCAGTCAAGGAAACACACAACAAAACTGATTCTTCCCCCTTCTTTATACTTAGAAAGACATCGGCAGCAGTTTCGGTCATGGTAAAGCTGCCTGCCTTATATGAAGTATCACTCCGTGCTTTGAGTTCTCAGACTAATATGTTTTGCAAGCTGAACCGTAAGCTGGACATGATTTCTGAGAATCGTGGGCCACTTGCAGCTCCTAGGACTCACCGGCATGAAGGAATCAACCTTGGAGAAGACTAACAAGCATGGACGGGTAGAATGTCCACAAATCTGGCTGTTTAGATTCACCATTGAGTGTAACAGCAGAACTGAAGGCAGACATTAAATCAGTAGTCTGCCTGCCCAAAACATTTGTTTATCTGAATTTGGCCTCCCCGATGGCTTTGGATAGGCCAACTCATCGTGATGGGGTTCTCTGCAGACCAAAAGTGGGCGTTTCTGGAGAATAGGCGTTTGTAAAGTGCAAACACTGATTGGCTAACTGTATTTGCTGCTCTTTAGGTAAGTTATGTCAGCTCTTTTTTAAAATTGAAGATTTCTAAGAAACAGAGTTATATCTGCTGTCAAACACAAGAAGATTCTCTTTTGTTCTTGGGCTGAAACCTGCTCCCATTTGTCAAAAAGTCTGGTCTCAATTAATGATCACCTTACCGTGGTGGAGGGGTTTGAGTGTCCCAATGATCCTAGGAGCTATGCTGTCAGGGGCTTTATGTCCCTAGTAGGGTCACCCATGGCAGACAGGTCCTAGGTGAGGGACCAGACAAAGTGCAGCCCAAAGACCCCGATGATGAGAAAAACAAATGGACTTAATGTTCCCTTGCCCAGACGTGGGTCACCGGGGCCCCACTCTGGAGCCAGGCCTGGAGGTGGGGCATGCGGGCGAGCGCCTGGTGGCCGGGCTTTTACCCATGGAGCTCAGCCGGGCACAGCCCGAAGAGGAGACGTGGGTCCCCCTTCCCATGGGCTCACCACCTGTGGGAGGGGCCAAAGGGGTCGGGTGCAATTTGGGATGGGCGGTGGCCGAGGGAGGGGACCCTGGCGGTCTGATCCTCGGCTACAGAAGCTGGCTATTGGGATGTGGAATGTTGCCTCACTGGTGGGGAAGGAGCCTGAGCTGAAGTGTGAGGCTGAGAGGTTCCGGCTAGAACCAAAACAGATTTAGTTTTTAATGTAATGGCTAGGTGTTAAAAAAAACAAACATTTAGCTCTCCCCACCACCCATTTATGTTGCTCTTATTTCGAAATGTAACTGGAAGTTCTGTGTTAAAAGAGGTGGAATGAGAATTTATGGAGACGCCGCCAGTGACGAAGCAGTTAACACCATAAACATAATATGTCTGTGGTTAACACAATCTGTCAATAACGTCTTGTTTTTGTATCGTCCAATCAGATGTGGTTGTCCAGATACGCCTTCCGTATTTGTCTGCAGAGATACCTATTTGAACTTATCTCATGTTGCTCCTGGTGGATACGTAAATTAAGAAGCTTTGCTATGTCCCCCACCCCCCTGTAGACCCTTAGCAGAGTGGACCAGCTGAGAGAAACTGTAACATCTTTATCAGGACTATGGGAAGTATGTGGAAGTGTTCATGGACAATCTCATCGTCTTGTTGTCTGTCATTCTGAAATACTCAGAATAGTTGGGCATGCTTCAGCTTCCTCAGAAAATATAATTGTTGGTGAACCTTCTCAATGATGCTGGTTGTGTTTATGGTCCACTTGAAGTCGTCGGACTTGTGCAGTCCCTTGTATATTGCTTTCACCTGCTCCAACACCTCTTCTACTGGTGTAGGTGGGGGTTGGGGGGGTTGGGTGGTAAGCACTCTTTTTGAAGTCTACCATCATCTCTTTGCCACAGTAATGCTCATGTTGCTTGCCTTACACCACTCAATAAGCTCCTTCACCTCACATACAGGACTTCATCATCACTGGAGACGGAACCATTAACAGCATATTGAGCGTTGCATTCATTTGATGAGTAAATGAAATTTATGAAGTGTTGTTAGTTATTCTTCAGTAATCCATCCATCCATCCATTATCTTTACCCACTTGTTCCATTTTGGGTCATGGGGGTCGCTGGTGCCCATGTCCAGCAATCACTGTGCGAGGGGCGGGGTACACCCTGGATGGGTCTCCAGTCCATCACAGGGACACATAGAGACAAACAAGACAAACAACCATTCACTCTCTCACTCACACCTAGGGACAATTTAGAGTTACCAATCAGCCTAACATGCATGTTTTTGGTCTGTGGGAGGAAACCGGAGTACCCGGAGAAAACCCACGCATGCACGGAGAGAACATGCAAACTCCACTCAGAAAGGCCCCTGGACCGGGGTTTGAACCAAGGACCTGCTCGCTGAGAGGCAGCAGCTCTACCAGTTGCGCCACCGTGCTGCCCCAGTAAACCATTAAAACATGAAATATAAATCTGAGCATGTTAAGGCCACAGAACACGTTTGTGACACCATATGTGAGAACTTTGTCCAGTTCTGTATGCAGTTTAGGTTGTGTTTGTTAAAAAAAACTTAGTTTCATGTTCAGATGCTCAGTTCAGATGCTTGAACCTACCGGAACACCTCTATCTCCTCTTACACCATCAGAACCAGACTGTCCCGGGGCACCAGCCTCTCCCTGTAACAAGGACCCGCACATTAAAAATGATGTTTCATTTTATACAAAAGTTACAAAACCTGTAAAAACAAACTCACTCTTTCCCCTGGAGGACCTCTTGGTCCAGGAGGCCCCTCGTCACCCTGGAGATAAGATAAAGGCATAAAGACAGATAAAGACATTTGTCAGCTTTGTTCGTGGAAACTGCACCTGTGCTACATGCAATGTGTTTCTGATCAGCTGGTGTGTCTCTGGGTAAACTTTAAGTGACAATACCTTGGGTCCAGGTTTTCCAGGAAACCCATCTGCTCCACGTTCTCCCCTGGGCCCCTTCAATGTCACAAGAATACCTTCAAACTTTGTCTCAAACACCTTTCCTGACACTGAGCCTGAATATGATCTTGACCAACTAAAATATTACACAGAAACTTACAACTTGATGACAAAAACAAGTAAAGCTGCAGATTATAAACTGAGGCTAAACATCTTAAAACACATTGTTCTTCAGCTTCAAGTTGAATCGACAGTTTTCAGCATGAATCCAAAATCAAAAAGCGCTCCAGCGTATTCCAAACATATGAGCCTTTATTCATAAAATATTTAATGTAATAATAAAAAGACAACAATATGTCATACAAACCATGGCACCATCATTTCCAATAAGACCATCCAAACCATCTTTACCAGGAACACCCTTCAACAAAGAGGAGAACATGGTGACTGTTATTGAGGAAAACCAACAAAAACTGAACACGAAAGACCGAAAGGACAAAAAAACAAGCAAGACGTACAATGATGTCCCCCAGACACTACCAGGAGCAATGGAGGAGCCAGGGGGTGTCCAGTGGTGGCCATGGCCACCATAGCTTTATCGTTGTCTACCACAATTATTTGGTGAAACTATACTTTAAACTTTTCTCAATGACTGGGGTGGTCAGGTTACATACACGTGTGTGTGTGTGTGTGGCCATCTTGGATATGAACGTGCTACTCAATTTTGGAAAGGACCTTTCGAAATGGATGTTGGTACATCACTTTATTCCAGGTTGTCATGCTCAAAACATGCAGCCTATTTGCAATTCCCCCTCTTCGCCCCACATAGAACAGACCCCCCCCCCAACAACAACAAGAAAAGATTTGGTTTATAAATGTTTTTTTTTTTTCTTTCTAGATGGCCTCCGTTCTCCCCTTACAGTCATCCTCTCCACAACATTATTATGAAATATTTATTCTAGTGACTATCTAGTGTATTATTATAGTGTCTTACATATAAAGCCTACATAAGCATCCCTGCTTCTATTTGTGTGTGGTTGTGAGAATGCATAAGTGTATAAGGCTTCTCTAATAGAATATTTATTAGTAACTGTGAAGCAGCAGAGACCCGACCCCCAAGACCAGAGGCAGACGAAAAAGGGGGGACCAGAGCCCAAGACCCCAGGAGGGATCCCGACCGCGGAGCCCCCAGAGCCACCCACACAGGACGAACCACTCACCCACCCCCCAGAACGGACCACAGGGGAGAACCGGAAGATCCCCACCAGCGACCACATACAGTGACCCCCCGGGGCCAACAGCGACAAACTCATAGGCCTCCGTCGGAACCCGCCGCACCGATGTAGGTCCAGGTCTGGGCACCGAGGCCCGGGCACCTAAGATTCACACCACCCAGGCCAAGGCCCGACAGGGCCAGAGGACCCAAGCCCCACCAGGCAGACACCAGGCCGAGCCGACACACGCCCAAGCGCCCAGCCCCCGACACCAAGGGCCCCAAGCGCGCCGGCAGGCAAGGGCACACCCCACCAGGGGGCCGCGCGATAGGGGCGCGATGCCAAGCACCCCCAGTTGTATCAAAGAGGGGGCAGTCCGAGTCTCGGCCTAACAAATACCCATTCATACACAGACACAATCACACAATCCCAACCTCAGTCTCACATTCACTCACTCAAAGACATACAATAACGATACATTTCATTCTTATTCCCGATACGCACTCTATACCCCTCAGGTCCAAGACATGTACCCGCCCTCTACAGGGGGCAGCCCATGCCCAAACCCAGGAGGTAAACCCATTCATTCTCGAGTGGAGAAGAGCCAATACCCCAGACCCGGCCCAGACCCGGCCCAGGCCATGCCCCGCCGACAGGACACCCCCCACCATGAAGAGGACACGCCACCGACCACCCCCACACACCGCCAACAACCAAGCACGCACCCCCAGCCGACCGCCCGCCAGGCCCCGGCAGCCACCCCGGCCAGCGGGCCAACCATGGCACCCAAGAGCCAAGCTCAGGGGGTCCAAACAACCCCAGGGAGAGCACAGCGCCAGCACCGCCCACGGCAACCCCCTAGACCCCGAACCCCCACATAGTCCTGGTCAACACCCGACGGCCTGCCCTTCTCCCGGACCCCACCCCCGGAATGGCAGTCAGGGAACTAGGGGGGGTAGGAAAAAAAATAAAAATAAAAAAATTAATAAGACCCCGACACATACATCCCCGCCCCTAGATGTGCTGTTGATGTGTGTTGTTGTATAGTGCCATTAAAAAGGAAAGAAGAAGGAGCAAAGGCTGGCATGATGCCAGTTTCCCCTCCACCCCAACTCTATCCAAACCCTAGTGTCTAAATGCAACCGTTGTAAGTGAGCACAGGCACAGGGGTTAAGAGTAGGTCATCCCACCACCCATAGCCATGTGCCCATCTCAAGTTCCTATATGTGAATGTCATGAGGATGTTATGAATGAATGTCTAAGGTGTACAATAAAATTGAGTCCCAGGTGGCTATGGTCAACAGAGATGTAAAATTGTTGCAGCACACCCGAGCCCAAACAACCCTAAATGTATGGAATTGAAATGAAGAGGGTGGAGGTGCATGGTGAGGGATGGGGAGAAATAACTGTGAGAGCAAATGCTCCCACAGGGAGTCAGCTCCCCCACTGACCCAACAGTCCCCCCCCAGCTCCCCAAGGTCCACCCAGGGATTGAGGCCAAGACACCTCTCCATCTGGACCGACCGCCAGGCCCGCTGAGCTCCAGACCAGAGAGGGACAGAGCCCCAAGGGCCGCCAGAAGCAGTACCAGCAGCCTACACACCCGAGGGCCGCCAGGACCCCCACAAACCGCAGTCAGCCCGCTACCAGATGAAGCCAAACCTCACCAGGACGACCCGGCCAAGAGCGCCCGCCCAACCGCCGACAGTGCCAGGAAGCACCGGGAGCGAGCCCCCACCACAGGAAAGGGGCCAGCCAGCCGGCCATGCACAGTCCCGGGCCGCCCCCAAGGACATCCACCCCATCCCCACCCCAGAAGAAATACTACACCCACCCCTCATTCGGACATCTCTCAAAACACATAGCACACTAGACACCTAGGCTGGGTCAAACTACCCCCTCTTAGGGGCCACTGGTCACGCCCCCAAACACCCAACCCCCCAGCCCATGAACCCACAACCCACCAGCGAGCCGAAGGCCCCCGCCCAGAACCGGGCACCAGAGCGCAAGCCGGCCCAGAGCCCGGCAACCCGCCCGCCAGAGCCCAAGATCCCCAATCCCCACAGGCCCAAGCCCGGGGGCGACAAGCCCCCAGAACCCCAAGCCCCCGCGCCCACCCCGAACCCACACCAGCACAGCCAGGCTACCAGATCGGTGACCCACGACCGCCGCCACAGACCACCTGAGGGCCTGCATGCAGCCACCAGCAGACATCCCCCAGAACCACACAGGCCCTCCCCAGAGGGAAAGCAGTGCCCCCCTGCCCAGGTACCCCCAAGAGCCCAGCCCCCGGCAACCCCCCGGGGCCCCAAACCCATACACCCGCCTCCACATCAACCCCAAGGCCCAACAAGGTCAGATCCCAGACTATAAGAAACTAGAAAAGATTTGGTTTATAAATGTAACTCACAGACTTTCCTGGCTCTCCTACTTTCCCCTGCCGTCCCATTTCACCAGGCAGGCCCTTCAAAAGTAAAAAAGACATTAAGTATGTTCAGCATTTTTAGCAGACATCCAGTCATACCATATCGAACTAAAAGAACTAAACTAAACTAAAAAACAACAACAAATAAACAACATCGAACAATATCTGTGAGGAAACAATGTGATGGCTCAAAGTCTGGAATGACTGCTGAGATTTGGTGAAGAAGCTCAAACTGAACCGGTAAATTCAGAACAATGCTAAAATTAGATCAACTAAAGGTGAAGCTAAAACCAACAGCTAAGAATTTACCAGAATTATATTTTAAAGCATAAAACCTGCAAACTTAGCTTAAAGCTAAAAGCAGCAGAACATTTATCAGAATGCAAAAACAGTATCTAAAATTTAAATTTAACAAAACAGAAATTAACATAAAATTACCAGAATGGCTGTTAGGAGTTGTGCTTTCCCTGGTCTCTGTCTCCCTCTAGTGCTCCATATTTGTCTGTTCCCCCTCTGATGTCTGCACCTGTGATGCTTCACAGGTGTTCTGTGTTAGTCTTGTTAGTGTGTGTGTGAATTTAAGTCTGTTTGCCTGCGTCCCTCATTGTCTGGTCATTGTGTCTCACTGTGATGCTCCTCGTGTCCTGCTCCTCGTGTCCTGCTCCTTGTGTCCTGCGTCCTGTCCCATGATTTATGTAAGTTTGCTGCCCCGTCAGCCATCTTTATTTTGTAAATAATAAATTATTGATTTATATTCTTTGAGTCTTGCCTGCCTGCCTGCACCAAATGGGTCTCCTGCCTAGAAATCATAACAATGGCAGCTATAAGAGCTAAGACCAAAATAAAGTAGACCAAAGCTAAAATAACAAAACAGCAGCCAAAAGCTAAAATGAGCAGACCAGTAGCTAAAAGCTAAGACCATTAAAACAATAACTGAAAGCATAAAAGACCAGAGCAGTGGCTAAAAGGTAAAACCATCAAAACAGTAGCTGAAAAATAAATTAGAGTAGCTAAAAGCAGCAGCTAACAGGTCTTACCAGAATAATAGCTTGAGCAAAAACCAGCAAAGCATTAGCCAAAATGCAAAACCAACAGAATAGTATCTGAAATCTAAATTTTACGAAACAGAAGTTAACTGCTAAAATTTGTGCGAGTTAGCTCGCTGTGACACCGCTTAAGAAGGAAGCAAATGAGAGAAGAAGAAAAGCTAAATGCTAAAATGACCATAACAGTAGCTAAAAGCTAAATCAAGAAAAAGCCTAAGGCTAAAATTAACAAAACAGCTGTCAAAACTTAAAACCAACAGAAGCTAAAATGATCAGCACAGTAGATAAATGCATAAATAATCAGAATGGTAGCTAAAAGTTAAAACCATTAAAGCAGTAGCTGAAAGCCAAAATTATCCGAAGAGTAGCTAAAAGCTAAAATCACTTGAATAAAAGGGAACACTAGCAAAACAGTATCTAAAAACTGACTTTCTCATAAATGAAAATAAAACTAAATAGTAAAAATTATAAAAGGGCCAACAAACAGAAGTCGTAGCTGTAATGTCCTGAATGAGCTGAATGTTTTGACACCTGACAGACAGAAACAGCTGAAATTTTGCTGAAGTATTTTGTGAAAAAAAATGGAAACAAACTATAAAGTAGAAAAGTGAACGCTGACTCTGCATTTGCATAAATAATTGGGACAACTGTGTCTTTACTTACAGGCTGTCCAGTTTGTCCTGTTTGTCCAGGTGGACCTGCTGGACCCTGTGGACCCTTTTGAAAAGAAAAAAGTTTAATTTCACAGAGGACAGGAGGATATTTTACATTTTATATTTGCTCCAAACATATGCAATGTTTTTTCTTTTGTTTTACAAATGTCACTCAGTTGGTGCCGAGACAAAATGTTGGACACGAGTGGACAGAACGTTTCAGAGCCACAGAAGGTCCAGTAGAGGGCGGTGTGTTCACAGCCCAAACTATCAGAGGAATGTTTTGGAGCTGTAAACACAAAACTCAACATTTTATTTATTTATTTTGGCTTATTTGTTGCTTGATAAAAGTCACATAAAGAACTTTATTTTTCTTCTTTGAAGAACAAAGTTTGTAAATTTTAAAAGATGTTGACTGTGATGGTGACCTACGTTTCTATATTAAATGAAAATAAGCAAACAATCGTTTTAAACAGTGTTTTAAAGGGAAATTTCAGATATTTAGAAGTGTGATTCTGTGTAAATGTGTTAAACATGTAATCTTTGACTGGTATCGAGTTTAATTTGACCACTCACACAAACAGATGAGTAGCTTGACTGCAGCAAAAACAGGGTTGCCAGATAAGAAATAACATGTTGCACTGTTTCTTTAATATTATTGTGTTTTCATCCAAATTATTGTATATACTGAGTGTGGGGTAGAGAGAAACTTTTGAAGAACAGGCCTATATTAAAACTAGTCGTGCTTTTAACTGCCACGCAGAACATTTCCAGAGGGGTCACAGAGAGTGTGAGGACTTGGATAACCGAGGCAACTTTTTGGCTATTTTAGAAGAGATGGCTAAGCGTGATTCTTCTTTTTGTTTCTGCTAACTTATTTTTAAATATATAAATGTTTCTGTTCAGTGCCCTGGCCTGAGATGACTTCTGTTGTTAGTTGGCACTATTTAAATACACTGAACTGAATTGAATTGTATGTATGTTTTTATTTATTCATTTCATTTCATCCAAACAACAAATATAATACAATTTAAATAAAAGAAAAAAGATATACAATCACCGAAATAAAATGAAAGGCAGCAGAAGAAAAATGAATTCTTATAATATCTGCCTTGTCCCCAAAATATATTCCAAACAAAATTACTATACAAAAGCAAGATGAATTAATAAAAAAATAAAAAATAATAAAATAAAAACTTAGCTAAAATATAAGATCAACTGTAAACAATTTTTATGAACTCACATTATACTTAATATTTAAAAAAAAAAAAACATTTTTATCATCTTCTTGAATATGTACATAGTTTTGGCATTTTTAATATCAACCTCCAGATCATTCCACAATCTAATACCCTGAGATCTAGTGGATCACATCTTCAGACTGGTGCGACACCACGGCTTCACAAACATCTCCGTCCCCTTAAGATAATAATTACTTTCTCTTTTAACAAATTTCCCTTGAATGTTAGTAGGTAGTATGTTTTTGTTGGCCCCATAAATAAATATGAATATGACAAATATGAATTCTAGAGAAGTGCATGAAAGCTCATGGTAATACACCAGCAAAACCATTCAAAATGAAATGTTGGAATGCCTGGATGAAATGGTTCAAGAGGAAATAATTAGGGAAATACAACAGAGTGAGGATTTTAGTATAATATCTGATGAAACCAAAGAGCTTCGTAAAAAAGAACGTGTCGTCAGGTCATACACGAGGGCTTTCCCTACGTCATGAAAGCTAACGGCCCAGATGCAGCAGAGCTCGCAGCTTTGATCATACGATGCCTTGAAAAACACGGGCTACAATATCGCACCAACCTGGTTGGTCAGAGCTACAACGACGTTGCCGTCATGAGTAGGAAGCACTCAGGTGTGTGTACAAGGACTCAGCAAGTTGCCAAATATACATTCTACGTGCATTGCAATGCTCATTGTCAGAACCTTGTGATTGGTGATGGTGTGAAATCTGTCTTTGAGGCCGATTGCTTTTTCTCACTTCTTCAAAAACTGCATTGTTCTTTGTCTTGATCGTATGTGCACACAAAATGAAATGCATGAAGTTCAGCCTCATGAAAAGAAGTGACAACAGGTGGGACACAGCCTGTCACCGTCTGCTTGATCGACTCCCAGCAGCGCATCGTTTACTGCAGAAAGTGTACTGGAAGTCATGGTGACCGGGCAGTAGATGCTCGGGGCTCACTGGCCCACATGGATAGCTTTATTGGATTTTGGGTTACTTTCAAGAAAGTTCTGGGTCAGTCCAAGTTTTAGTGAGACATGCTGCAGTCTCCCTCAGTGGACCTCGCAGCAGCGGTCACTCTTGTGAATCATTGTTTGACGCGCTGCAATACAGGAGTGAGACCTTTTCTGAGCTTGTGTGGAAAGAGGTGGAGGAAATGGCTGCAAGGAGTGATCTAAGTTTGGAAAGGACTGAGACGCCAGTTAAGATGAATGGGCGACTATGATTACATTCCCACTACATCAACTGGTGATGGTGGAGTTGATGAAAATGACAGGGAAGACTTTAAGGCATGCTGTCTATGCAGTGCACGGTTCAAAAACTGGTGAACTGCAAAGACACTTCTTTAAGCACAACTGCACAGTCATGAAGGGAATCCAAGCCCTTCACATTCAAAGCATCACCTTTTTACAACAGCAGCCTCTTTCTTCCATTGCCAAGATTTTTGATTCAAATGTTGATGACTTGGTCAACGGGCTGTATCACAGCAAGACACTTTGGAGAGGAAAGAACAGAGTGGGAGGCAGAGGCTCAGAAAACTGGCCATTGTGACGGCAGTGAGCAGTGCTTCATGTGAGCGCAGCTTTTCAACCTTCATTTAAATCATCTACGAACAACAGGTGAGCGTTTGAGTCATTTTGGGCTGAGCATCGAGTTGTGACGAGCAAAAGTATTTGACATGAATGAAAATGTGAGAAGTTCAGTTTCCATCACAAAAACCAAAGACTAATGCTGTTTTAGAAGAGCTACATGTAGAGTCGCCCACAGGGAACTGTGTGTGAGAGAGGGATGTTATTTTATCAACTTTTAGATTGCTGTTAAATTTTCAACTCTTTGTAATTTAAATAGAAATGTACGGTTATTTGGATCTGTAAATATCAGCAGCTAGCTGTGGCACTTCCTGCTGGATTAGGACACTATCTGTGCTAAAATAACCGTAACGTGAAGTTACCAGACGTGTAAAGATTTATGAAATCGTGTTTTAATGAACTGCGACAACAGTTTGGAGACTGTAGTAATTTTGAAACGACAGTCTTCAGTGGAAGCTCAGGCTGTATCAAGCAGCTAACAGAGGCTTGTCTGAGCTGGACAATATATAAACTCCAATATTTTCAAAAAGGTTTATGCAAAATGCTATTTCAGTCACTTTTATGCCACATTTTGTTTCATTTTACACAGTAATTTTTTAACAGAAATGCTTTAAAACACTTTTAAAAAATCTGAACTATTACTTTAAAGAAACTGATGTGACAGAAGTTTAAATATTTGACAGAAAAAGTTAGTTTGATTTAAGTTTAATTAATTTAAAGTGGTGTACACCATAAAGTTCTTTAACACAAATTACAAATAAAAATCAAATGATGTTACTTTTTGAATTCTTTTAATTTAAATTTTTTTTTTTGCAAAATTTATTACCAGCATTTTATTTGAAATCAAAATAATTTATGCTTTCCTATTTTTTTATTTTTTTTATTTTTAATTTTAGAAATATATTGTTTTCATTCAGTTACAATCTTTTTTTTAGAAAACATCAACTTGTTTGAAAAATTTCAATCTGGCTTCAGACCACGTCATAGCACTGAGTCTGCACTACTCAAAGTACAGAATGATGTTCTTTTGTCCCTCGATGCCAAAAAACCTGTTCTGCTGGTGATGTTGGACCTCTCAGCAGCTTTTGATACAGGTCCTTCTCAAAAAATGAGCATATTGTGATAAAGGTCATTATTTTCCATAATGTAATGATAAAAATGAAACTTTCATATATTTCAGATTCATTGCACACCAACTGAAATATTTCAGGTCTTTAATTGTTTTAATACTGATGATTATGGCATACAGCTCATGAAAACCCAAAATGCCTGTCCCCAAAAAATTAGCATATTTCATCCCACCAATGAAAGACAAGTGTTTTTAATACAAAAAACACCAACCTTCAAATAATCATGTTCAGTTATGCACTCAATACTTGGTCGGGAATCCTTTTGCATGAATGACTGCTTCAATGCGGCGTGGCATGGAGGCAATCAGCCTGTGGCACTGCTGAGGTGTTATGGAGGCCCAGGATGCTTCGATAGCGGCCTTAAGCTCATCCAGAGTGTTGGGTCTTGGTCTCTCAACTTTCTCTTCACAATATCCCACAGGTTCTCTATGGGGTTCAGGTCAGGAGAGTTGGCAGGCCAATTGAGCACAGTAACACCATGGTCAGTAAACCATTTACCAGTGGTTTTGGCACTGTGAGCAGGTGCCAGGTCGTGCTGAAAAATGAAATCTTCATCTCCATAAAGCTTTTCAGCAGATGGAAGCATGAAGTGCTCCAAAATCTCCTGATAGCTAGCTGCATTGATGGTTAGGTTAATAGCTTGTTTAGAGAACCTTTTCATGATATGCTAATTTTTTGGGACAGGCATTTTGGGGGCTCAGCAGGTTGGCCTTCAGGGAGTTGTGCTCGAGTAATTTAAGTCCTATTTAACAGACAGAACTTTCTCTGTTATGATTGGTGATCTGTCCTCTTCTTCAGTCTCTTTGACCTCTGGCGTACCGCAGGGATCCATTCTGGGGCCTGTTTTCTTCTCACTTTACATGCTACCATTAGGACCCATCATTGCATGCCATAATCTGTCTTTTCATCTGTATGCAGATGATCTAGAAATATATCTGCCGGTCACTCCCAGTTCCTCACTCAGTTTAAACTCTGTTGCCAGCTGCTTAAACGACATTAAGCACTGGCTGTCTCAGAATTTTCTCCACCTAAATAATTTTTTCCAGTAATTCATGCAACATCTCTCCTAGTATAGGTTTTCCGATCCCCCACTCCAACCAGGTGGTAAAAAATCTAGGAGTGGAGCTCGACTGTAATTTAAAGCTAGATAAACAGATGAGTTCTGTTGTGAAAACCAGCTTCTTTCAGCTCCGTCTGCTTTCCAAAGTAAAATCACTCCTTAGCCGTAGTGATCTGGAGAAGGCCATCCATGCCTTTGTGAGCTCTAGGCTTGATTACTGTAACGCCTTATATGTGGGTATTAATCAATCTTCTATCTCCCGTTTACAGCTTGTACAAAACTCTGCTGCGCGCCTGTTGACTAACACACGTAAATATGAACATATCACTCCTGTCCTTTCTTCTTTACACTGGCTCCCGGTTCAGTTTAGGACACAGTTCAAGCTGCTGCTGTTTGTTTTTAAAGCTTTGAATGGCCTTGCATCGCCATATATATCAGAACTTTTGAAAGTCCACCAGCCCAGCAGAGCTTTACGGTCTGCTGGTCAAAATCTGCTGGAGGTGCCTTGCTCAAGGTGCAAACATTGGGGGGACCGGTCCTTTTCTGTTGCAGGCCCAACAGCCTGGAATACTCTTCCCTATGAGCTGCGTGCCATCTCTGATCTGGTTCTGTTCAGAGCCAAACTGAAAACATACTTATTTAAAAGGGCTTTTAATGTTTAACTATTAGTAGTTTAGTATTTAGTATTTATTTATTTATTTTATCTCTTTTACCTTCTTTTATTCTGGCTGTGTTTTTAATTTGCACTGATGTATTGTGTCCTGATTTTATTTGTTTTATCTTGTAAAGCACCTTGGTCAGTGCAAGGCGTTGTTGGAAGGTGCTATAGAAATAAAGTTTATTATTATTATTATTATTATTATTATTATTATTATTATTATTATTATTGTTATTATTATTGTTATTTATTATTATTATTATTTATTATTATTATTATTATTATTATTATTATTATTATTATTATTGTTATTGTTATTGTTATTGTTATTGTTATTGTTATTGTTATTATTATTATTGTTATTGTTGTTGTTGTTGTTGTTGTTGTTGTTGTTGTTGTTGTTGTTGTT